TGCTTCCAGGTGCCTCTGGGATTTGTAGTCCGCAGTTGCTGCCAGCAGTAAGTTTGAGCAGGGGAAGGGGTGTTTAACTCCCCATCCCTGGCCCCAGGCCCCAGCCAGGGATTGCCAGGGGGGCAGTCCCTCTCCCCACACCCCCATACCCCCCGTAGACTGGGCTGCACCCCAAGCTCAGCTTGTTCCTCCCTCTCCCCCGTCAGCCAGCCCTCACTGCTTCAGTGAGGGAGCAGAGGAGCAGGGCCAGCCCAGCCCAGCCCAGGGCTGGAAAGCATGCTGGGATGCTGGGGGACTGTGATTTAACTTGAAGCAGGAAGGGGTCTGGGACAGAAGTTTCAAAAACTGGTTTGACCTAAATCAGTTAAGTCTGATACTACCTTCAACCAGGTTTATCTTAAACCAGTTTCAGCCATTTTGAAACTGGTTTATATGCACAGAGCTTCTGTTACTGGTTTAAACCAGTTTCTGATCACTTAAACTGGGTTATGTGTAACTTCTGTCCTTAGCCTTACTGGTAGAAGTGATTGGAAACTGGTTTATACTTGTAACAGAACAGAAGTTTGGCACATGCAGACTGACTTAAAAAGGGTGGAGCCTGGTCTAAAATGTATGCCCCCACCAAAGGGCAAATGTGTGTTCTGTTTGCTAATGATTTAAACTACACTGCTTGCAGAAAATCATGTAACTTAGATTGATTCTACCTCAGGCTTTTTGAATGTCTTTACCTAGCCCAGGTGCTGAGCTGGACCCCAGCAAATTGTGTCAAATTTTGTCATCATTGCTTCATGGCCCATTCTCTCCTGGTAGAGCACTCAAGCAGATCCTCTTCAAAACCTCCTTTCTCTGTAGACAAGCTCAACAGGAAAACTGAGGCATGCATTGTTGTTATAACATGAAATAAGGCAATCGGGACTCATAGTAGGGATGATATCTTTTATTAGACCAACAAAATTTTTGCAAAAAAAATTCTTTAATTGTAAGCTTTCAGGCACAGTCACTTTTCATCAGGCATTGGAGAAAAGATTGTAGAAGTTCTCCTGGGTAGAAATGGAAGTTCATATGTCATAGGATTTCACAGAGGAGTCAATAGATGGAAAACTTCTCTGGGAAGTCAGTTTATAGCTGGTATGAAGCCTCTCACCTCCTGTGAAGATCTGTGATGATGCAAATTACCGTGAAACAAAGGCAGGAGCAGGATCTCAGGTTTTAGGTTTTCACAGTTGCTTCCTGCGTGGGAAAATATGATTTTATTTTTAAAAAAAGGCTAAAATTCAGTATCTTCCATGTGTCTGGTATCCGGGTTGTAGCCATATTGGTCTAGAGCAGGGGTTCTTAACCTGGGGTCCATGGACCCCCAAGGGGTCTGTGGATAGGTTTCAGGGGGTCCGTGAACTTGGATGGGAAAAAAATTACATCTTTATTTTCACTAACCTCTATGTATTTTATGCATTTAAAAACATTATTCTGAGAAGGGGTCCATAGGCTTCACCAGACTGCCAAAGGGGACCATGGCACAGAAAAAGTTAAGAACCCCTGGTCTAGAGGAAAAGACAATCAGGACTCGTAGTAGAGATGATATATTTTATTGTAGTAGAGATGATATCTTTTATTAGACCAACAATATTTTGGCAAAATTTTAAAAATTATAACATGAAGGCATTTAACGCCCCCTTCCCCCTGAAATTATAACAAAAGTATAGTCTGTCATCAGAGCTGACCCGAGCAGGGTGCGGGGCCCGGGGCAAATCAGCCCACGCAAATTGGCCCTGGACCCGAAGAAGCTGCTGCCACCAATGCCAGCAGCGGCATCGGCGGTGTGTGAGGGGGCGGGGAGGTAGCAAGCGGCTGGATGCAGAGCCGCTGCTCTGCCCCACTCCACGGGGCCCCCCAAAGTGCGGGGCATGGCGTGGTCATCCCGATTTGCCCCCCTCCGCCCCAGGAATGGCCCTGTCTGTCATACATGGTCATTTAACAAATCTATTAATTACATTGAAACTTTTTGTTTGCCTCCCTTTTTCTCGCATAGGATATTATATAGTCAAGGTAGTACAGTGCTTAAAATTATGTCCGTCTTACTTTCTTCGATTGTCTTAGATGATGAAATGTGCATTGAAGTACCCATTAGGATGTCAACACATTTGAAGAAACAACATCATACCATTAACATCTGCTTTATTTTACAGAGAGGGTGGTATGATACTGAAAATGAATATTACTTGCTTCTCTTCACCCTGACTGTTCGTTGCATCTACTACACAAGTTTCAGCCTAGAGTACTGCTGGCATGGGTCTACTCAGAAGTGGTACCACTCATTCCTCTGGATGCTGGCCTACATGTTCTACTATCCTGTGTTCCATAATGGACCCATTATGAACTTTGATGAATTTAGTAAGCAGGTAACAACATTTTTAATGTCACGTTGCTATTAGTATTCAGTTAATCTGATGTTTACTGAAGGCCAGATATGCGGAGGAGCACCTCCTACCACCTCAGCATGCTAGATGTTTCCCTTATCTTTAATGTGTGTGCTAAGGGGTGTGAAAAAGTTGGATCAGTTGTCCTGAAAAAATGAGAAAGAAAAAAGCTTGAAAACTAGATGGAGGCCTTAGCCAAAAATGCAGATTATGAAATACTCCCAGACATCAGGAAATTTTGGATGTGGATCCAAATTCTGAAACTCAGACCTATTTTTGAAAGGCCATTCCACAAAATAGGTAACTTCTTTTGAGCTGCCTGATGTAGATGCTGAAGTGATTATACGTTAAAGGGGATAGAGATGAAGGGGCAGATTCTTTAATCTTGAGAGATGTCACAGTGAATGAGATGGAAATTTTGGATAGACAGAGCCTAAAAATTCTTTTTCATCCAATCTTACTTGAGATGATTCTTATTATAATGTATTTTATAATGCACTTTGTGGATGAATCTGAGCTAAGCTAATTTTGCAGTTACCTGCTTGATAAAAAATTCTCATTGATGAGATTTTCAAATAGAAAATGTTCTTGAAGTCAGCTTATCTTCATCTGCCCTTTCTTAGCATGACTTGAAGTATGTTTTATAAGAAGATAGAGGAACACTTAAAACACAAGCTTAGGCATTCCTGCTTCCATGTCAGCTATAAAAAGATACTGAATTCACAGAAGGCTATTAATTAAAACAATGTATATATTTGATTAATTGATTGATTAAAGAAAAATGTCCAAATAGTATTTAATATTAGTTGAATAGGGATTTATTTAAATTTAAAACCTTGGCATGAGAAGGTGGAAAACTAGTATGATCATTTCCCAATATATATACATTTATCTTTTGTGTTAGACTGTGGTGTCTTGGAATCATGATTATATATTTATTTCCCTTCTGAAACAGGTAAGTGGGGTTTTTCGGTCACCTAGAAGCATGGGAGAAGTAAGAGAGAAGTAGTAGTTTTTTGTCATGTATAGGTGCCCCAAGTCACCTGTGATGGAGCTGTGCTCCAATGTGTGCTAATTAGCACACGTTGGAGCAGACTTGATTAATCAAGTCTGCTGCGACTCTGCTGGAGTGTGGTAATTAGTGCACTCCAGCAGCCTTTGTGTCATGTGTGTTCAGTGTCCCTGCATTTCAAAATGGTGATGGGGGTACTTTAACTAAATCTCATCAAACAAACTTTAGTTAAAGCACTGTGATGCCATTTTGAAGTGCAGGATGCTGAATACACATGACACTGCGGGCACATTAATTAGAGTGTCTCTCAGAGCTGCTCTAACTAAAGCTCCCCTGCCTCCATGTGCTGGAGCGTGTGTAAAGAAGACGGGTTTTGGGTCAGACCCAAACCAGCCTTGGATGGACATTCATGGCGGTTTCAAAGGGGAGGGAGATACGCTGTTCTGGAATGCAAAGGAGCTGTTATGCTGTAATGCTACATGTGCCCATATAGCAGGAGCCTGTAGCAGTACAAGTGAGCTAAATCACCACAGCTTTAACCCCAGCTGAAACAGGGTTAAAGCTGGAGCAGTTTTGTTACATTTATATCACTACAGGCTTCTGCACACTTAGCAGTTACAGTATAACATCTGCTGCTTAGCCAAGAAGAGTGGCTTCCTCTCCCCTTTGGAAACTGCTCCAAGGGAATATTTCAGGGGTGTAGGTTGTAGCTGTGTTAGTCTAAGGACATACGCAGACAAGGTTCTTTGGGTAAATCTGATATTTTTTATTAGAACAACTCAAATAGTTGAAAAAAAATCTTCTTTGCAGGAAGAATATTCCCAAGGGAATATTTGCACATATTTCTGTCTCCAGTTATGTGCTACAGCACCTAAAATTTAGGTGTCTTGCTCCAGGACAGTGACTTGAATCACTGGGGCCTAAAATTCCTGTATAGTGAACAAAAAGACCCTGGTCTTTCTTGCAGTGCTCCATAATGTCTATGTGCTAAGTAAAGCAGTGCCTTCAGCCACACAATCTCCTTAGGCTAAGGAAGGCCAAGAATACAGGTCTTTCACTTCCTGGCAGAGGCTGTAACTGCTAGACCAAACTCATCTGCCCTGATTCAGAGGTCAGATTGGGCCACAGGCTCATGGACCCTGGACTCTCCCCTCTCCCCATGCGGGATGGAGTGCCAGTGACTCACTCTGGGATCTATGCTGCATGCAGCCAGGGTGGGAGCTGCGACTGAGAGCCCTCATAGCTGATGGGGCTCTTGATCCCAGCTGTAAGTGAGGCATAGTCAGGATGGAGAGCCCTGCGTGGGCTGGGGGTTTCATGCACCTCTTAGCCTTGGGGATCACAGTAGCCATGATCCTCAGGGGTTTCACTCTGGGAAAGTTGCACCTGTGCAACTGGGAGCCCTGTTAGCTGACAGGCTCCCAGCCACAGGGGAAACCCTGCTACACATGTAAAATAAAGCTTGATAGCAACCAGCTGCAAAGTTAGTACACATTTTTGAGGTCTAATGTTATAGCTGGTTGGAGCTTTTTGTCATGTGATAGCTACTTTGCACATGTAGCTGGTCTTAAGGTAATCGTGCAATTAACCAGTTAATTGTGCAAAACTTTTAACATGTAGAGGGGCCATAGAAAGAGACTTTATAGGATTATCATGGGTAGACAGGCTCATAATGATAAAATGTTCCTTCATGTGCTTTTATGCCACTCATTTGGCTGCCTTGAATGTATCATAGCTGGCACTTGATCAATATATGTACTTGATCAACACTTTCCACTGACTGCAGTTTGAAAGCAGCTGCCATATTTACTTGAATATAAGATGACCCCCAATAATTAGATTATGTAGCTGGAAAATTTATAAATTTGTTATAGAATCTAATTATTAGAAGTTGGCCTTGAATTTGTCCTCTTTCCAATATAGCAGAAAAGGAACTACTTACCCTAACCCCAACTTCTTTCCTCTGCAGTCTCTTCCCCCCTTCCTTACTGTCAGACCTTGCTTTCCCTGAGCACATGAAAGTGTGGGGCAAATTAGAAAACACTGACCATGAAATAAAGATGCCTGTAGTAGTTCATATATACTACACATAGGCTTAGTTCATGTGCAGTTGAGACATTTTACTTTCTTGAAACTACTAGAGGTTTTAGCACCATAAACACAATTTTAAACAGCACTATTTTTTCTACTTGTATAGAGTACAAACTATGCATAATATTAGTCCAAAGCCAAAAGACTCATGATTTATCATATAGTTAATTGGACTGGATCCCAGCAGAATCAGCAACATTTCAAGCCCTGCACTGCTTGGTATGTGTGTGTACTCCAGATTTCCTCCACAAAGGATCCATGTGCTAATTTGCCCCCACTCATAACTGGAACTGGGTGTTCTTGTCACAAGTCCTAGAATCCTCCAAAAATTTATATGCAGATTAGATTCAACGAAATCTGGTCTGGCTCCACCTCATGTGGGGTGAGGCTACACCAATCATATGTAATAGGCTGAAAGAAGGGGTGACAGAGGATTCCGGGTGAACTGTTTGGGTCTCCATTTGATGATGTTTGCCAGACATTTACAGCTGATGAGGAAACAGGAATTATTGGAAATAGGAAAGAAAGGGATAGCTCAGCGGTGGGATTGAAGAGGAAGTCAAAATGTATTCACTATAGTGGCTCACAATGACTTGAAAAAAGAGTTGATGCTGAGGGGAACTGTGCTCAAGTAGGCACCACTATATATAGGGGGCTACTTAAATTGCGGTTTTGCTGATTTCTTGGAAACTGCAAAATCCAAGATTATCTGTGAAATCAACAAAAAAATAAAATAAAAATAAAATGCTGGCTCCCCAGTGGAAGCCAGTGGTTCTCAAGGATGCTGTGGCTCAGTTTTGCAGCCCATCTGGAAGAGGAAGGTGCTGGCTTGGGGGGCAGCACAAAGGGCAGAAGAAAGAGGGCTACTGTCTGTCCTTGTTTGTCCTTCCCCTTGAGGCCTCTTCACCAATCAGTGCTGAGGGATGGGGCTGCACAAAGGGTAGCCAGCAGTCAAGATGGCAGCTGGCCTCTTGTCTCCCCTTCCCACTGGGGCCTCTCTGCCAGTGAATGCTGAGGGACAGGGCTGCTGGAGCACATCCACAAAATGTCCACGGAATTTGGTGTTTATGCCATGACCAACTTATGAATATTGGTGAGTTTGACCACAATTTAAGTAGATCCCTAACCATACGTCTTATTCAGAAGGGTTGTACTAACCTATTCTTGTGCTGGTTCCTATCAGTATGTTTGCCCCATATGGACCATGTGTTTTATAGTCATGTTTAGTGTTGGCTCATTTAAATTAACTTCATAGTTGGTTTCTGTGACTGAACACATGGTGTTTTGGGGAGTAGTTTAATGATAGATAGTATTTAATGAGGTTTCCTAGTATGGATATGTAAGACAAAGACCCTTTTCCCCCATGCTGTTTGAATGAAGAAACCTTATTTTGTATTTGAGTAAATATAGTAATAACTAGGAACCTACTCATATTGTGAGTTTGCGATTTTTGCGGAAACTGCAAAAAATGGCAGTTTCCACAAACACTATGAAAAATGGCAGTTTCTGAAATTTTGCACAGAATCACTAGAAAAAAAAATGACTAAAAATAGTAAGTGGCCCAGTCTCCCAGGCACTGGGGGGAGCTGCTAGCATGAAGGGGAGCAGCTAGGATAGCAGCCACTCCCTCAGCTGCTGATTGACTGAGGCGGCTGCCTTTTGTGCCCCTCTCAGGCTGGATGAAGGGCAGCCCTCTCTGCCAATCAGCAGCGAGCAGCGGGGCTGCACGAAAGGTAGCCCTCTTGGCCAATCAGAGATGAGGGGCTGGGCTGTCTGAGCCCCACAGCGAATCAGCTGCTGGGTGGGGGGGGCAGTGCGATAAGCCCACATAAACAGCAGTCAGTGCTGCAGTTGGCCTACGAAATAGCTTATCTGCCAC